CCTTCAATTAACGGCATTGCAGTGCAAGAGACGAGGGAGTGAAACCCGCCCTGCTGGAGCTCTGGGGTGGCCACTCGGAAACCTAGGACACCAGGTTGGCCTGATGGAGAGTCTGCCTAGGTGTATGAAGGGGGAAAAGGCTGCTGGGGAAAGGAAGCAGCGTCCTCTGAGGAATGGGGATGGGTGGGTGGCATGTGGGTGAGGGTGGGGGTCGGGGAGCCAGGGAAGAAGAGAACCTCATTTAACTGGGTAACTGGAATTTTAAAGCAAGAGGTATTTTTGCTATTATCATTATTTTTTGCATTGCTTACTTTTCTCTTTCAGAAAAAGAAAAATAAAAACCCTATGAACATTTACAGTACTTAGTTTCAGACAGCAGCTTCACAGGTCCGTCCATCCTCACGTCCTACCTAGAAATGGGTCCGTCCATCCTCATGTCCTCCCTAAAAATGGCCCCATTCTTTCGACAGCCCAGTTGTTCAGCATCTAAACGGCTTGTCCTTCAAGCTTCTACGCAAGTGTGAGGGGAACCTCTTTGACTCTAATTTCACCAGAAAATTTGATGACCCTTCTTCGATGGTTCTAGTTAAATCAAGTTTGTCTACAAAAAATGAAGCTGCTTGTTTTGTTTTTTTAAATGCAAGAACATGCACTTACGGCCCAGCCCCTCGGCACACGGGTTTCCGGAGCTAGTCTTTTGTCACTTGAAGGCAGGTAGCCTGTGCAGATGACGAAATTAGTATTCAGTCTGTGGAAGGCTCTTGGCCAATGTCCCCCAGAGAGCAGGCTGCTACTGCGGCAAACACAGAGACTTAATTACCGGAGACCACACTCTCAGCGGCTAGAGGAGTCTCAGGGCTGTTTACTTTGGCAGATGCCTCCGTACAGACAGTCTTTGGAATGAATGGAGTGCAAGTAAAATGTCTCTTTGAAAATGGTTTCACAGTCTTTCTTACAAGGAGCTGGAACGGTGACCAAGACCTTAGACGTCTTCCTCCGCTGCTGCTAGATACGAGTCGGGATTCACTGACAGGTGGTTATACTATCCAACTACATACAAAGGTCTAGGATCCCGTAAGCCATCCACAGCCCCCAAGTCCATTTGCGTTTATAGGGTGCTTTCACTTCCCCCACGCCCTGGGAATGGCAGGAGGGTTTGATAGCCAGTGGTTTGGCTGTGGCAATCCCAGCACACCCAGTAGCCCTTCATGCCATGTCCAGGGCCACTACCTGGGACCATTGCCATGCCCAGTCACACACATGTGCCCTTGATTCCAAAAGGAATCTAAGATGGGTACATGCGATTTGTGGGTTGTCCTTTTCATGGAAAAAAAAAAAAAGGCTACTGTTCCTACTGGGTGAGCAGATCCCCGAAAAGGGGGAGGAAGGAAGCTGCCACATGAAGATCAGAGCAGCACCCCTCAAGTTCAGGCATTATGAGTGGGGGGAGCCCCCTAAATGTGCTCTAAAGCATCAAAGAAAGATGCTGTCATGGGTTCAAAGTCAGAATCACCAGAATTCTCCAGTGTCTAAGCCTCTCCATCATGGTAGTTTTGGGGCAAGGCTCCTTTGAGATGCTAACGTATTCCAGATGGAACCTCTTCCCTTTGAGGGCTGCTGCCCTCAAACAGGCCTTCCGGTGGGGTGGTTTTCACTCCCTGCCTAGGCCAGCAGTTCTTTGGATTCTAGTTCAATCTCCCTCTCAGAGGTGAGGGGGACCTTTGCTGTCTACACAATGTCCACCTGCTGCCAGGACACCCGAGGCCATCAGTTATGAATAGAGCCCTAAGTGAGAGGAGGTGCTTAGGGCTGGTGACTGGATTTAGTACTTGGGTTATCACCAGTGTGACCCCCCCCCCACACACACATCTGTTGTCACCAGCGTAGTCAGTGACGCTGCCCTCCTTCACTTGGAAGCATTGTGGATTGGACCGGCATGCTCATTGGTGAGGAGGGAGACAATGGGGGGAAGTAAGGTGGTCCTTGGCTTCCAACAGTTTTGCCAAAGGAATGGCGCTTATTCCAGACCATCCTGAAATGATCTTGATTGTGACCGTGTTCCTTTGGTGTTGGCTCAGTAGCAGGTGGGGCATCACACCGTGTCACACAGGTGTGTGTGCATGCGTGTGTGTCTGTGTGTGTAAGGTCACTGGCTCTGATGGCCAGGCCAGGCAGCTGCCATAATTGCTTACCCTTGTTCGTGAGTTTTTTTCTTCTACATCCCTGCTGTTGCTTCCTTCCCAAGGCCAATGCTCTTTTTGCCTCTGGCAAATGATGTTTGAAAGAACCCAGGAAGGGACAGGATTAACAAGGCAGCCCCAAGAGGCACAGAAGGAGCACTGTGGAGTTGAAGGAGCAGAGAAAGATGACAGGATCCAGGCCACAGCCTCCTAGGAAGGGTCCTTGGGGTCAGCACAGGAAGCTGTCAACTGCCCCTCTTGTAGACAGCGGCTCGAAGTTCTTGCAAGAAAGGAGACTCTTGTGTCACACCAGCCCCTCTGGCTGGGGGGAGCACCAGGAACCTCTGCAGGGAGCAGGCCTGGAGGCCTGGGGAGGTCTAGCTGAGCTCCTGTGTGGAGAGGGCAGAGGCTTTGCTTTCCTGTGGTCACACTCCGATCAGCTCCTCAAACCAGGGCCTTCAGGAAGGCTTCTGCAGACAGCTGTCTGTGCAGGGACAGATCCTCCATCTTGGTCCTCCTCCAAGGCTAGGCACTTTCCCCATGACTCAGGGCTGCCTTCACTTCTTGGCCACTAGCCAAGGACTCTGACCCTTGAGAAGGCATAGAGAAGGGGGTATTTGAGAAGGAGCCTTGCTGAGCAATGCCACATTTTATGGGCACTTCCTAGGACCAGAGATCTCCTGGACCCGGCTCCTGCATAGCTGTAGCCAGATCAGCAGTCCTCCCAGCGAGGATAGGATCTCTACCTCTCTCTTCCACTTCGATCTGGTGTGTACCCTCTGGCTTAAGAAACAAGAGGCATTGGGCTCATACTAGAAAGGGAGGGAAATTCCCAGAATCCTGTGTTGTTTTGATGTTCCATTAGAAGCCTCAAGAACACTCTAAACATCTAACAATAGACCAGCATGCTACATGGCTACATCCTAGTAATACTGACGTCTTCATCAACAGAGGCTTCCCAGGCTTAGGGAAATGGCTTAGTGGTTAGAGCCCTTGCTGAGCAGGTATGAGGACCTGAATTCAGATCCCCAGAATAAACGGATCTCACATAAATGCTCCTAGACTCAGAAGGCAGGGGCATGAGATCTCCCAGAGCAACCTAGTGTTGAAACTAGCCATCTTGGCAAGACCTGGGTTTGACTGAGACACCTTGCCTTTTGAATGAGAGGGAAGAGGAATCGAGGTTGACCTGACATCAGCCCAGAGCCTCCACATGCTCACACACTTACGTGCATAGGTTCCCACACACAAGCAAACATGCACACACAAACCACAGATATGAAAGTGGAAAAAGTTAAGGAAGCGGTTTCTTGAGACCTTTACCAAGCAGGCACTGTGACAGGGAAACAATATAACTTTCTCTCTCCCCCCCTTTTTTAAAATAGGGTTTTACTCTGCAGCCCAAGCTGGCCCCAAATTTGCAATCCTTCTGCTTCAGCCTCTTGACAGCTCTATTTCTTGTGTGTGTGTAAATGGGTGTGTATATGTATGCGTATGCATGTATATGTATGTGTATACATGTGTATGTGTATATACATGCATATATGTGTAATGTATATATATGGATGTAATCCATGTGTATGCATATGCATGTATATCTATGTAATATGCACGGGCATATGCATGTATATCGGTATATGTATGCATACGTGTATATGTATACACGTGTATGTGTATGTGTGTATGAACAAGTGCTACACCAGAAAGACAACCTCAGGCACTGATTCTCAGAACCCACCTTGTTTTTTTGAGACAGGGTCTTCCACCAGTCTGGGGTTTTCTGATTAGGTTAAGCTAGTTGGCTGGCTAACAAGGCCAAGGGATCTACCTTCGCAGCACGGGGATTCCAAGCATGTACCTCTACACTGAGCCTTTTCCCAGGGGTTCGGAGGACTGAACTCAGGTCCTCAGACTTGTGCAGACACGCTATTGACTGATCCACCTTTCCAGCACAACGGCTCCATTTCTTCAAAGAGTTTAAAAAACACTCTTAGGTTTTGTGTACTCATGTTTTGCCTGCCTGCATGTATGTATGTGGACCATATGCATGCCTGGTGTTCATGGAGGTCAGAGGAGGGCGTCGGGTGCCTTGGAACTGGGGTTACAGATGTTTGTGTACCATGAGGGCGCTGGGACTCAAACCATGGTCCTCTGCGAGCACAGAGAACGCTCTAAGTCACTGAGCTGTCTCTCCAGCCCCACGCAAGTCTATTTCCTACAAAAGAGCACACTAACGTGTGGTTGAGATCTGGCTGGTCTGGTGTGGGGTGTCTGTGTGATTCTTTTTCGCTGGTGTGGATTGGCAGAGGAAGCAAAGCCCCCTCCTGCAGCCATCTGCGCTTGGATCTGCAGGTTTCTGTACGGTCAAGTGCGCTCTGCAGTAGCCGTTACTAGTGATAGTGGCTCAGAACAGGGTATAGAAGTTTGAATGGGAATGGCTGCCACAATCTAGAACCCTTAGAGTCCACTGGGTGGTACTGTTTGGAGAGGCTGATGGAGCGTTCTGGGGGTGGGCCCTTGCTGAGGGAAGTCCCTCCTTGGGGCAGGCTTTGGGGTTTTAGAGCCTGGCCCCACTTCCTGTTCCCTTTCTCCATTTCCTGTGTGTGGATGAGATGTGAACAGCCAGCTTCCTGCTTCCTGTTGCCATGACTACCCTAACATGAAGGACTCTACCCCTCTGGGCCTGTAAGCCAAGACCAACCCTTTGCTGCTCTAGGTTGTCTTTGGTGATATTTTATCACAGCAACAGAAAATATAAACAGGGTAAAGAAACTGAAACAGCTGGGCAGTGGTGGTGCACGCCTTTAATCCTAGCACTTGGAAGGCAGAGGCAGGTGGATCTCTTTGAGTTCAAGGCTAGTCTGGTTTACAATAGCTAGTTCCAGGACAGGCTCCAAAGCTACAGAGAAACCCTGTCTCAAAAAACAAAACAAACAACAACAACAACAACAAAACAACAAAAAAAGAGAAACTAAAACAAACAAAAGCCCTACCCAAACCCTGAAGCAATTACGTAAGTCCCCTTTGCGGCCCGGGTGGTTCTCAGTATTGCTGAACCCTCAATGCTCAAGTGATGAATTTAGGATTTGACATAAGGAACATCTCCTAAAAGGAGTCTCCACCCTCCTTTTGTTGAAGCTAACATTTCCCAATATTGCTCCACACTTCTGAGGGCTCGTGTCTCTGAGACTTCCTGCTTGCACAAGACAGAATGGATTTAATTTAGTGATTAATCAGGATCATAAATTGCCACATTTCATTTTTTTTTAATAATGAAAGTCCATTAAAGTGTAAAATACTGTCAGACGCATCTAGTCTGGCAAACGCCATGTATCTCCACATTTCTGTGAATTCACACGGAAGCTTGCAGCACCTCTGTGCTGGCGGCCCCCTTTGGTGATGGAACACAATAACTTATTAAGCTGTGATATTTAATAAGTGTGCACAAATATCATGCAACATTAGGAGCAGACTCACAGACAGAAAGTGTATTAGAAACAGATTTATACAAAAACGCCTTGTAAACAAAAGGGGAAGGGTTGCTTTCTGTACAAAATATGCAGGCTTTCCTCTTTCTTTTTCAATGATCTGTAAGATGCATCATACTTTGGGCATTTTCAAAAGGTGAAAACTGTATAAAAATAAATATCCTATGTACAAACACACACAGGCCAATCCGAGGTTAGAGGCGTCACTGCAAAACAAAACCAGAATGACAGCCAGTTAGTTTAGGGCCTGAATGCTGACTCCCCTGGAGGAAAGGGGGTGGGTTTGTCTTTGATTGTGTCAGAGTCTGGGACAGGGAAGTGAGGAGCATCAACCCTGCTAGAGGGAAGACACTCATCTGGACTTTAAGACAGTTCCCCACCCCAAGGGAAACTCAACTTTCACCTGGCAATCACTCCCGGCTGTGGCCACTAGAGGGCAGTCTCTTTACGCAGTCTTAGAAACCACGCTAGGCACTACATCTGTCCTGACGGCATTTGGTGGTGTGAACCTGGGGTTCTTTAGATGCTTCTCGAGCATGCTGTAGCTCTGGACAGCAGCTGTGGTTCCCCTGCTAAGTTCAACATGTTCCATGTGCTGCCCACCAGCAACAACCTTGAGGAAGAATCTTTGGGGACCGAGGAAGGTCTTATTTAAGTCAGCTGTCTGAAACTTCTGGGTGAGGCTAAAGTGCAGATTGTGTGTGGGGGGGGTGGGGGAAAGACACCGACCCCTCAATGCTGAACTCTTTCTTTCTATAGCTTGTGTGCGCTTTAGGTACCCAGGTGCTCAGTCAAGATCTTGTTTGTCTCCCTACTTTTTCTAGTCCTGTGCATCAACGAGATTTTGAGTGTTGGGGGGTACAGGGGCGCTGAGTGATCTCGTACAATTCTGAGTTACAGGCACAGGGCCTGAACGACTAAGCCTAAACTTTCGTGAGTGTGGGGCCATGAATTCTACAATGAGGACATACTGGTCGTCTTGGATGATGGTGGGAGGGGCTGAGAGGATGCTGAGTGGGCAGTGAGGTGCAGGGAGACGGCTGGCCACCTGCTTCAGACCATGCTGAGGACAAGGGCAGGCTTCTGTCCTTAGGCTGGGGAGTCCTGTAACTTGGGAGCTGTGGCTGAGAGGGCTGGCCTTGTGACCTTTGGCTGAATGCTTCAATGATGGCAAATGACAATGGCATTGTGAACCTGGTGATATCTTGGTATTTGGGATGCCTGCACCTCCTAAGTGGTGCATGTATGCTGAAATCACATACATGCACCACCATGCAGGGTTTATGCACTGCTCGGGGTCAGACTCAGGGCTTTGTGCATGCTAAGCAAACATGCTTCTCAACTGATCTACACATCTGGTCCCTTAAAACATCTCAAAGTGTTCTCCAGGTGTATGTAGCGAGTGGGATATTTAATGCGTACCCTTCTCCCCTGCCAACCACCAATGAAGTGGCACCATTTTTGACCTACATCTTGCTGTCTCATCTGCAGAAAAGCAGGATGGGAACTTTACGGCACTGTTGGGAATGGGCTGCACCTTTGACCCTGAGCTGCAAGGGCCTCTGGGAATCTTACCTTGTTCCAGCAGCCTTGGACTGGTAAGCCATCTTCTCCCTGTGAGGAGGCAGAGAGTGCTTAGACTCGAGACAGCTGTGTAGACAGGCGACAATGACACAGACATTTCCGTAGTCTCACTGAGACGCAGCCTATCCACTGCTGGCTGCTTCCTTTCTTGCTCTGGGTCCCCTTAGAAGGGGTGGGAAGCACTTAGGTGCCACCGTTTTCTCCTTTGGCAAATGGTGAATGTAGCTGCCATGAGGCTAAGCGGGACTGCTGTGACCTGTGGGCTTAGCTTGTACAGATGTCCACAGGTGTCCATGAATAGCACAGAGGACCATCTTCGTTCTGACTCGGTGGAGTGCTAAGAGCTCCGGTTACTGGGCAATTGGGCCTCCTGGTCTTCCTCTGCAAACCTCCCAAGGGAATGGTGAGCCTTGTGCTGTGGTCCCCAGCCTGCCTGAGCCTGTTTCTCGTCCTAAGCAATGGGAGGTGTCACCCAAACAGTCCCAGATAATGGTCACTAGGTGGGGACAGGGTGGCAAGTGACAGGCAGCCTCAGGGGGATTGCATCAGGCTTTTGGGAGGTCTTTCTGACCCTGCGTCAGATACTTGAATCTGGAGGGGAACGGGACATCTGGGTGGGAAGCGACTATGTATTGGCTGAGCAAGGCAGCAGCCTCAGGACACCGTGCCTGTGCCTCGGAACATTCACAAGCCTTCTAGGGCCTAACATTCTGGCCTCTCTGGCAAACCCTGAGGCAGTCCTGGAATCTTCCAGAGGTCAGGTTGAGGGGAGGGCCAGGTGGACCCAAGGGCAGAGCTCTGGGTCTCAGTCTAGGTCTAGCGAAGGGCAGCCTCATCCTAGAAATGCAGTCTCTGTGGTCTCCTCCACCCACCCCAGCAGGGAACCCCCCAAATCACCCGACATACATAAAATTTTGCCCCAGCCCAAAGAAACCTAGCATGTGCCAAAGTCATGTCAATAGCTCCCGTACCCCACTCCTGCCAATTCAAGACAAAGGACATGACATTATGTGATGTTACTGCAAAAGACGCCATTTTGAATGGTCAACCAATATTTATCCTCGTTTCCCCTCTCGGCTTGGACGAGGACTTGCAGGAGGTGGTGCATTTCAGTTTCCTGGTGCCCCTCTGTCCCCTTCACAGTCCATCCTGGCATGCTAAGTCACCCCACTGCCACAGTGCGGCACACTGCACACAAACTCTGGGAGGGAGCAGGGGCCTTGGAGGACCACAGTGGCATTTCCATCCGGATGGATGGTGGCACAGAGGAAGAGCAGGCAGAGAGTGGGAAGGTCAAAGTGCCTAAGAGAAGTAAGAGTGCTCAGATGAGGGCAGGAGCCGGGAGCGGGGCGGAGGTGATTGGGGTCCAGGAAAGACTTCTTTTAATTCATGGAAGCGCTTTGGAAGCACCCATGCATGCGGCGTGCTAGGGATGGAGGGCGGGGCCAATCCTATCAAGAGGCTTGCTTGCTACTCTGTGTGCTTGACCTGCGCAGGCTGGCTTTGCATTTGTGTTCTAAAACGGCTCTGGTGATCTCCAGGAACGCTATGGCCGTCCATGCTTTCTAATGCCAGTTTTCATTCAAAGAGGACCTGGGGGTGACGGGTGGGGATATGGGGCAGGAAATGCTGCGTTCATAGGGGCTTTGGGATCTCCTGGGGGAAACGGAAGCCTAGACCAGTGTTTGCAGGGTCAAGAGTTGTCTTCTGTTTCTTTTACAGTTAAGAGGGTCATGCAGATACTGGGGAAGTTACCGTCTGGAGCAAGACTGGGCCTGGGAAAAACCAGCACCTGAGTTTTCAGCTCCAGACATGCTCAGGGGTACTTGACCACCTCCTAACTACATTCTAGACCTTTCTACCTCTTTTTTTTTTTTCTAGTGAGATACCTAAAGACACAGGACAGAGACACCAAAGGACAGCCTTCTGGGTCTTTAGCATCTAACACCCGATCCTGAACTACACTCTAGTTTTGATGCAGTCATATGAGCCACGACCCAGGATCCTGGACCTAGAATAATGGACAGGGTGACCCCTACCTCCACCTTAATTATATATAGAATGTCTCTGTCTAGAAGCAAGCCTCGTGTCCCTTGTCAAACTGTGGGGGAGGGGTATGTTCGCATCTGGGCGCTGTTGGCCAGGTGACTGGCAGCTCACTCTGTGTTTGGTTAGTTTGCTCATCTTGTGCATTCATGGCTAAGTGCACCGCAAGGAGGCGAAACAATCTGTGTTAAAATCATGCCCAACGAATGTGCTGCCCCAGCTTCCAGAATGGTCTAGATACAATTAGGCAATGAGGTTAGATGCAGCCAAGACTGGCTTTGCAGGGGCCTGGTTGATGTGTGTGTGTGTGGGGGGGGTTTGCTTCAGAAGTAGTTAGTAGTTGCAGCTTAGAAAACACCTGGCCGCTTTGCATGCAGAGGGTAACACAGTTGGGAGCACCCAAAGCTCTAGGCAGTGTGACTCTTGGTGTCTACAGAGTGAAGAAACAGGAAGCAGGAGCTGGGAGAGCGGAGCAAGAGGATCAGGAGGCACGCGGGTACACACCACACACGTGGGGTAGCCCAGATTGGCCACGCAAGCAAGGGAAATGCCATACCAGTGGGCATGGGGCATCCAGTCCGTCCAGCCCTGGTAGCCCCGGCTCCCCTTTCTCTCCTTTAAAACCTCGGTGGCCCTGTTCATAAAACCAATCACGACGATTACTGAAGTCGAAGTCAGGACATCTCCAGCTGGGGAGTGGAAAGGCCAGTCCTAGCCTGGCCAGGAAGCAGAATCTGATATACGCAGACACTTTACAAGTAAGGGGAAGTGCAGCCATGGAACGAAGCCAGTCTCTTCTGCACTGAGACCCCGACCTGACACAGTCACAGAGTGTAGCATGGCTTTCAGAACCTTCCAGAGCTTTGAAGGTTCACTTTAGAAGCCAGGCCAATGCGCCAATTATTTACTGGCTTGTTGGGAAGGCCGCCTGGGACTGTCTACCCATTTTGGTCTGCAGCTTTCCAAGTCTCGTCTGGGCTGCTGGGCAGTGCACGGAAAGCCCTTTATCTGGCCCTGTTCCCTTCAGCAGGGACTCTCAGTGGCCCTCAGGAGACTGACTCTGGGGTCTTGCATCCTGACCGAGTGAGGTCTCAGAGAGCCAGAGCTGCAGGCCACAGAGGCGGCCGTGACACAAAGGACGCAAATCTTGTGTGGGTTTACAAAGCACACCGGGGCCAGAGCCTGAGACCTTCTCCCCAAACCCTTCTGGTCTCCTCCTTCCACCCAACCCATTGTTCTCAACCTTCAAAGGAGAGGGACTCAAAGGCAAGGGATTTAGCAGAATGGCTCGCAGCTGTGGCTCTGAGGCCCCCCTCTGCAGGCAGGACTGCCAAGGCACAGACAAGCTTGGTGGCATCTGTGGAGCTCCGCTCGTCCTCCGCGCCTTTGTTCCTAACCCGAAACCCTGTGGAAAGAAACTCAAAACCATGCAAAGGAGGAACGAAAACATACCAGCGGGCAGGGGGCGTCTAGTCCAGGCGCTCCTTGGTCCCCTTTATCCCCTTTAGGCCCTCTAGAGCCTTTCTTCCCCCTCTCCCCCTGTAAGCAATGGTTTAGTCCAAGGTGAGGGGAGAAAAAACAACACAACAGCATCATCAAAACTTTAGGATCACTCATGTGTTAGAGAGGAAACGGTGTATGAAAGGACGGGGGAGAGCAGCTTCTCTTAACTAGGTTAGCACCGTGGGAGGATTGTGGGACACACCCACCTCCCAACTCAGGTAGGGGGAGGACAGGGAGGTGGCAGCAGGGGCGTCTCCGAGCTGAAGGGGAAGGAAGAGCCCACTAAAGACAGAAGTCCCCAATTTTGCTGATCTGAAGCCCAGGAAAGGATGGGGAGCAGGGGGTACATTCTATCTCTTTAACGGTTTAATCTTGAAGGGCTTTGAGCTGACAACCTCTTGCCCCAGTTAGGATTTATTTTCTTTTTAAATAGGTGTGTGTGTGTGTGTACTCTCCGGTTGCTCTCCCTTGTGATGTGTCTCTCTGGCTTATTCTCTTACATCATCGCTACTTGAACTTGTACCGTCGGGCTATTGTGATGGCCCAGCAGATAAAGGTGCTTGCCACCTAGACTGAGACTGAGTTCACTCCCCACACGGTAGGAGAGAAGGGACTCCCGTGGGCTGGCCTCTGACCTCCACGAGTGCATCGTGGCACACTTCATTGCAGCTAGCTCAGGGAATTCATTTCTTTCTGGAGAGCGTCAGCCAGCCTCCTCCTAACCGAATCCTGTTTTCATGTCTTGGGGTTCATCTAAAGAAGGGCTCTGTGGGTGGTGGCAGAACGCTTTAATCCCACCACTTGAGAGGCAGAGGCAGGCGGATCTCTGTGAGTCTGAAGGCCAGCCTGGTCTACAAGAGCTAGTTCCAGGACAGGCTCCAAAGCTACAGAGAAACCCTGTCTCGAAAAACAAAACAAAACAAAAGGCTCTGGGACATGCCTCCTAAAAGTCACCTGGAAATGAATTTGCAGTTAAATTTTCATGTGTCTTGGTCCTTTAAAATGGACCACACATGTTCCAACGGAGTCTCCTGGGACACTCTCCTCTGTGGAAGGTGGGTTATCTCATGCCCAGAGACTTGGATATTGCTGCTCCATCATGGCAAGGCCAAAGGCACAGCTAGTCCTGCCACCTACTAACTTGAATCCCTCTGAATTATCTGTAAAATGGGTACATTACACTCACTTCCAAAATTGGTGTGACCTGTGCACACGAAATGCTCACTGGTGGGATGCTATATCACTCAGGAAGGGAGGGTGGCTCCTGTCACCCACGGTGATGACAGTCTCCTACTGCCTAGTGTGGGAACAAAGGCTCCTGGAGAGGGTCTTGTGTCTTCAGCATTCCTCTAGTTGTGGGCTAATGTGTGTTAAGTTTCTTAGGCAGTAGAGGTTAACAATAGTTCTGATGTTCCCCCAGACCTTTCAACAGGACCCTGATATTTTTGGTTTCAGAGGTCATCTGTAATTTGTCCACACAGGACTCTGAATGACTTTTCGGAATGATGGGTGTTGAGGACATGTGTGTACTTGTAGTGAAATCCCTTGGGGCAAAGGCACGCCCACCAATGAGAAGGTCCTGGCAGGAGGATTCCCTGAGGGTGGCCAAGCTGAGTCCCCAGGTGTTTGGAAGGGAAGACCCTGGGAAGTGTCCCTAAGGAACATGGCCCTTGTTCTCTGAGTCATGAGTACAGTTTCTCAATAAAGGAGATGGGCAGGGCTGCTGAAGGATTGGTTCCAGGTGTTAGAAGATTTGCCTCCAGGTCACAGTGTGAGCCATCCACACGATGGGGCATCACCCCACATCAGGTGTTCTGGAAGATTCTGGAGCTGCTACTGCTTTCCCTACATGTCCCCTATCACCCACCCGAGAATGGGACATACAAGAAGTGCCCCACCCCCAGATCCAGTTGGTGAGAAGGGAGAGGCAGACGGTGACCCACAGAGATCCTTTAAGCTCTCCTGATGAACGTGGAAAACTGACTTCAGGAGACACAAGCCAGGGGGCGGGGGAAGGATGAGAGTCGGGGGTTTAGTGGGTGCACATATTGTGGGAAAAGAAGGAGGAGGAGGCTAGCCCAGGCCAGAAAGATGGGAGGAGAAGGGAAGGGAGGGAGCAGAAGGACTCAGGAAGGGAGGCATGCGCATAGCCCCCGCCCCCAACACTCCCCCATCCCCAGGCCTGCACAGCAGAGTGTGGTAAGTCTCAGCATGCTTGGACCTTTTCCACTGGCCAGCTTGCAGGCGGCTCTATGGCAACAACCAATCAGCCAATGTCCTGATAATTACATCGCTGGAGTCATGATACCCTTACCCTCTGACCCCTTTCTGTTGTTTCCACTGAGTGTTCTCTAGCCAAGCCTAGCCCCACACTATGTGTAGCTGAGGATGAATGTGTGAACTCGGGGTCCTTCTACCTCTTCCCCCAAAACTCTGGGATTACAAGCCTGGAGCGCTATGCCTGGCTTTGATCAGTGTTTCTGTTGTAAATATGGTTCCTGGGCCAAATTCACTCAGTCACTTAGAGACAAGAGCGGATGGGAGAAGAGTTCCTGCAGAGACAAGAACAAGCACTCTTTCAGTGCTCTTGTGGCTTTAGCAAACTTCTGGTTTTGGATTTTGTCATTGTAAGGACCTACCTCATTCCATGAGCAGGAAAGAAGAGTGGAACCATTTCTGGACAAGACAAGCAACTATATATGTATGTGTGTGAGAGAAAGAGGGGGGGAAGGGAGGGAGGGAGAGAGCATGCCTGCACGTGTGTGCATGTGTGTATGTGTGTAGAGTTTGTGTGCGTCAGCTCTTTACTTCCATCACACTGGAGTTGAACTCAGGTTGTTGGGGTTGGTGGTCCGCACCTTTGCCTGTGGGGCCTGTTACTAACCCATTTGTAAGATTTTAAGGTAGCATCTTCGCTTAGGTAAGGTGGAACAGATACCCAGTGCTTCTCCAGGAACGAGGAAGACCCGTTTGATGAGGATATGTTCTGAGGGCTGCCTATGGGAGCTACTCTCCAAACCTCAGGCTAACACTGGTTATTTCCCAGAGTCACCTTCCCAGGCAGCAGCAATGACTCTTTGAACCAGAGCCTTGCCTTAGCTCCTGACATGTCACCTGGGTCAAAGAGTCCATATCCTATATCTCCCTCAGGGCCCCATTAGGGCTGGTGGCTCCATTAGGGCTGGTGGCCTAGAGGCCTGAATGAAGTGGTGAACTTCAGACTGTCTTTCTTTCTTTCTTTCTTTCTTTCTTCCTTTCTCTCTCTCTCTCTCTCTCTCTCTCTTTCTTTCTTTCTAGCACATTTAGCATCTGAGAGTTAACTCTCCTGGATGAGAAAAATGAGTTATTCCTTGATTTGAAACCTGCTGTTTGGGACAATTCACCTTCGTGATGTGACACATTGCTTTCTGACATGTCTGTCTGTCTTTCTTCTTATATTTATTTATTATATACACAGTGTTCTGCCTGCACATATGCCTGCAGGCCAGAAGAGGGCACCAGACCTCATTACAGATGGTTGTGAGCCTCCATGTGGTTGCTAGGAATTGAACTCAGGACCTCTGGAAAAGCAGCCAGTGCTCTTAACCTCTGAGCCATCTCTCCAGCAAAGCCTGAACATGGCTTTCTTTTTCTTGGATTTCTGAGGTAAGGGTCCAGGTGAGCCTCAGAGGCTGTATAACCAGAACAGCCCTGACTTGCTGATTCTCCCACCTTATGCCTCCTGAGAGCTGAGGTTACAGGTGTGTGCCATCTGCTGAGTTTTACGCAGAGTTAAACTGGAACCCTGGGTTTTCAGCAGTTCTACCAACTGAGCTACACCTTCAGCCCGACTATGACTCCAATGAAGAGACGTATTCTAATTTATAAACAGGCTGGGGAAAGCTACCGAAGAGCAGGAAGGAGAAATGGAGGAGACAGATTTCCCCCACAATTTCTGGGACTTCCACAGATAATGGTTTAGCATCCGAGACACTAGACTGGTCCATTTTCTCATCCTCCCTCACCCGTGACAAGGGTACCTCCCTGGCCCTGACTCTCCACTACAACAGGAGGATTACCTTTACTTCAAGTGACTCAGTGCCTCCAGCCAACGGAAAAGGTCTTAAGAAGTAGGCTTGAAAAATGTTAGTTGAGTGTAACGAAGAAAACCAGAACACATTAGAAATGAGTCAGGTAGGCTTGTGTGCCAATGAAGAAACGGAATGACCAGGTTTTCTGAAGACTCAGGGACCAGCTCCACAGCTGAAGGTGGGTCAGTTTGTTGCCGTGGGTTGCCATGTGCTCTTGCCATAGGCAGTCTGGTAGGGGTGCCTCTGCCTCCTCTCTCTTGTACATAGGTTTGGGGAACAAGTTGAGTTGCTTTTGCGTGCCTGCCGGTGAGGAGACTTTAGGGGTTTAGAAGTGCCCAATAAATACTTCTTAAATCGAGGAGAATGAATTTAACCGGGGCCAGATAGAAATAGACAGATTCTGACATGCTCTATTCCTGAAGATATGATTAGCGGTCAAAGATGAGCCGGGTTCTGGATTCATACGCTCTGCCTCTGCCTCACGGGGGGAACTCAATGCAGTACGATTCCATGTTCCCCACAGCAGTTCTTGGCCTGCTCCCCCCCCCTTCCTTGCCATGTAAGGTCCATGAGCTTTACTGCCTGCTACAACATGCTCTTGGTCCTCAGGGCACGTGCACTGCACACAGGCGGGCACTGGAGGAGGCGATGGAGAGGGCTATCTCTCGGATAGATTATTGTTGCTGTGCCCAAGTGCCCAGGGTCATGCCCATTATATGCTTATGGTGCTGGGGACAATTAACACGTCCTGCTGAAGACGGCAGGAGCCAAGGGGAGGAGGGAGGGTCTGGAGGGTGCTCCATTCCCTGCCAAGTCTCCAAGAGAAATAGCAGCTGGGATCCTTTTTTTTTTTTTTTTTTTTTTTTTGACTTGGCTGTCTGCTCTTGAAGCTGGAATTTATTTTCTTGGTCACCAGTGGACTGGAATGCTTGACAAAACTAAGTTTTAGGAGGCAAAGATGAGGTGACAAGGGGGTCTAAAAATATCACTAAGGGGCCGGTTATCAGGGCAACACCGAGAGGACTGGATGCGAGGCTCCTGTTACTGGATGGCCACGCTAATCTGACGGTTGCTGTGGGATTCATTTAGCCTTCTCTGGAACGGAGGAGAAATCCTGGCTTCAACCGCAGTACTAGGCCCCAGGCTCCCCGCATGTATGGCAGGGAGCCCCTCACTGGAAAGCCTTTCAATTTGGGATGATTTAGAAGGAAAGATTATTTGTTCTGTTAGGTCAGGAGTCTCCACTTGATCATTCCATCCCATCATGAAGACATTAGTAACCAGACCCCGAGTGCGAGGGCTCAGACTTACCCGGTTTCCTTTGTCCCCGGGTGGTCCGTGTAAACCCTGCATTAAATCAGAGAAACGAAGACATGTTAACGAGAAAACATGAAACGGCCATAAGGTCCTTCCCTCAGGCTCAGAAACAGACGGATGCCCAGTTCAGTGGAGGTGGGCTCCATTACCCCCATTTTACAGAAGGGGAACAGAGAAGCAAAGGCATCCAACAACTTGACTTAGAAGCACATGGATTTAGGAGCAAATCCACAGACAAAGGGTCTTGGTTTCCTTGCCCCGTCGCCCACGTCCCTGCTGACAGCCGTGTTCCTCTGGAGTGAAGAAGAACGGGTTTCATGCTGCAGTCTGGGGTGGGGACGTGGTACTCTGAGCTGAATGTTTCCACGGTTCTCCCGCCAGGCCCTCGCTCTCCACGGCTGCCGAGACCCTCTTTAGAGGGCAGAGCACCCTAGGGGGATGAGCGTTAAAGCATCCACCAGCGCAGACACGCTTGTTTAGTCAGATGCACATGAACCTCGGGTGGACGGGGAAACAAGATCCAGGCTCGTGAGAGACAGCCACTTGGCGTTTGCAGCCAAGCTCCAGGCAAATGCATTGCAGATGGGAGCCAAGTTCAGTCCTCGAGGCCAGCACCCCCTTTCTGTGTGGCGGGGGATCTGGATCCTAGACAGCAGAAGCGGTGGCACCTTGGGGACCCTACTGGACAGCACAGGGGCTGAAGTGGCAGGTTCCAGACGTGCTGTGATGAGCACCTGTCCCCCGCTGTGCCCCACAGGGACTTCTAGCTCCTCCTCGGTTAACTCTAGGCAGATTGTCTTTTAACCCTGAGTATGAGCTCCAGGCTCTGGGGCTGTGTGTTTTGATCTTGCTTTTAGTTGTGGGGACAGATGGACAGAAGGAAACCTCTCGTCCCTGGAAACTCACAGGAAGCCCTGCTGCTCCCGTTGGTCCTGTCATCCCTGGGTCTCCTTTGCTGCCCTGTAAGAGAGAAAGATGCCATTGTGCACGGGGTGGTGGCTCCCTTCCCGTGACCGTTTTCTAAGTCCCTATGGGAAATATCTCTGGACCCTCGCCAGAGCCCCAGGGAACCGACGCGTGTGTGAGGCAGAGTGTGCCCTGAGAACCCTTCCACTGTCTCTCCAGTACAGCCTGCTTCCTGGAAAGACGAGGCAGTGAGGGAAGGAGAGCAGGCGGCGGAGCAAGAGAGGAGCTTTGATTCCTTCTCTGAAGTCCGTGCCATCATCATGGTGTGGCTAGTCCCGTCTCCCCAGGGGACCCAATGATCTCAGAGAGGCTCACGGTCTATGTAGAAGCCACCCACTTCCCCAACACAAGCCTCTCCTGGGACGGCAAAGGGCAGAGGCATGGGTAGGACGACTGTAGATGCTCCGTAGGGGTGGGATAGCGTGGAGTCTGCCCACTAGGGATGACAGGTCCCGGGTGTGTGGGAACCTGAATGGTTGCGGGGAGTAGAGTCCTGCTCCCCACCCCAGAACTGAACTGATTTTGGTCACCCTCATCCTCTTACACACCCATTCTGTGAGGAATGGGTCGGACTTCAGAAATCATGCGGCTTGGCCACGGCCACTCAACACTAACAGTGGGAACCCTGCCCAATGTCCCGGCTTTCAGACTTACTGATGTCATCTGGGGCCTTTTTGAATCTCACAAGGCCTTCTTTCCTACCCTGTTTCTCTAAATGAGCCTAACAGAACCTGCATCCTTCAGAGACTGAACTGTGACAGGTGCCAAGGTACCAGAGGAGAGAGAGGTTTTCCATCTCACCTGCCTCCTCACAGCCATACAGGCTGCTACAGGGACAACCAGGAGTGATGGGCGGGAGCAGGAGTGAGGGCTGAGACCCCGGGGGATGGGTCCCACGTGCAGGAGATGAACAAGCCGGGCACAACCCTGCTTCCTGGTTTCCCAAGATCGCAATTCACTCACCCTCTCGCCCTTTGGTCCAGCTGGGCCTGGAACCCCAATTGGTCCTGGAGTACCCTGGGGAGGCGAAAGAAAGCAGAGGTAAGGAGCCAGTTGCTGGAGAGCCCTGAGGATCCCGCCCAGGACCTGAAGATGTGCAAAGCCTGAGTCCCTGTTTTCAGGATTGGCAAAGCCAGGCTCATTCAAGGAGGCCACTGGACCGGGCCACGATCCATTTTGGATTTAAGGGCCTTGGCGGAGTGTTCCGCCCCCCTCCTCAGAGCCAGATTCACGGGATGAAAGCCTCTCACATCACAGCCAAGCTTGCCAAGGATGAAGACAGCAGGACAGTTGCTGGGTTTGCCACCAACAAGCACTGGGGAGGGAGGTGACCCCACCCCAGGAGTGGGGACTTGGGGCCAGTGCCCCCCTTGCTGTCACAGCTCCACATGCAGCAGGAGGGTCTTCATGCCACAGAGACCAATGCCGAGACACACTTAGAGGCAGGCGTGAGAGGGCATCCAGCACCCCTCCCCCATCCCGCCGCAGACCCACAGATCCCCAGGCCTGAGGAACAAACAGTCATGGGTTAGTACCCTCCAATGTCAGAACCACACTGGACTTCAGGGACAGGATCTCTCTTAACTTGGGGTCCCAGGGAGCTAGGGGGCACTTCAGTAGGCTGGGGGTTGCTTGGAGACAGAGCTGGGCTAGCTATGGAATCGGCAACCATTTCTCCCAGGTTCTCACCCGCATCCCAACTAGACCAAGTTTCTATTCCACAGCCTCCTGTTTACTGCCCTCAGGATTTGTGTCCTACTCAGACCAGACTGTGGTTCAGGGGGCTGCCCCAGAAGGATGCTGCCTGGTATTCTGAGTGTAGCTGGGGAAGGCAGGGGCATGGGCATATGGGAGAATGCAGATTGGCTGCACATGGAACCGTAGAGCCAGGAGAAGTTCTTGGCGTCCTCTGTGCCGTGTGGAGAAAGACAGTGGAGTGTGGATGACATCAGTGGTTCCCCCAGAGCAGGACTGGCGGCAGGTTCTCTGCCTCCGTGTCCCACAGTAGTGCAAGGGCTCCCCAGACTGACCCAGGCTTCAATTTCCCCTCTGGAAATCTAGGTCAATTAGGGAGTCTGTTCCAAGGCCTCCCGGGATAAATATGCAAAAGCTGGACCTGACCCCCAACTATCAGCAAGACAGGACACTCCATGGCTCTTTCATACAAGGAGACAGAGTTGGCATTCAGTAGGATGAGGCTCTGATAAGTTGCCTGGGCAACCTCCTACCTCTGAAAGCTCTAGGCTCTGCCCCACAACCCTGCCTGAGTGTCTTGCACAACAGGACCCAGCTGGTTTTCTTCTCTCCCACATGGCACTCCAATCAGCTAACTCTAAGTCTTGACTCTAGGGTGATGGACCTTCGCTGGCTATCCAGGCATAGCTGGCTGGCTACCACTGGCTGGGCACACGGGCCTGGTATGGCTTCCAAGCTGGGAACCAATGCTGGCAAGTCCACAGGGCGTTCTGTGCAGGTAAAGCAGAGGGCCCTTCCCTGTGGCCCTTCGGGACTGTGTGTCTGCAGAGGAGACAATGACAGCTTGCTTCTGGAATCAGGAGGAAAGAGGCAATGCGGGGGGGGGGGGGGGGGGTTCACTTGCTCTATTAGGGACCCCTTGTTGTGCTTGCAGGGTGGCTTGGGTACAACCGACAGTAAAAGGCATGCTTAAAACGCACCCACAGGACACTGAGCTAGACTGGCCTCTGAGCTCCTACATGCCCCTCCCATCCTGACCCTTCTACGTAGGCAGGTGACTACGTGTGACTGGGAGGCCCTCAGGGGCAGACAGAAGATGGACAGATTTCACAGTCTGACAACGACACAGCATGAAGGTCACACACAGACACTTGTGTTTGCTGGGGACACACAGCTCAAGCCCCAGGGTGGGGTTCTCAGGCTGGACCGGACATCAGGGTCACTGCCGCTTGAGTGACTTCTGCTGTCCCACGCTCCGTGTGTCTGGTATCCTGGTGTGCGCACTGTGGCTAAGGGGTCTCAGCCTTTCTAATGTGGGTGTGGAGGGGACTTCCTGGTGTCTATGGCGGGACAAAGCAGGAGCGCTGTTGCAGCAGGGGTGGGGTGGGACGCGAACACGGCCACAGCAGGAAAGACAAGAGGGATCCTTAGGCTGGACAGGGACCAGGGACGGGTAGGGGAAGGGTGACGGAGAAATGACACTCACCGGTGGCCCAGGCCTGCCGTCCAAACCTGAAGCTCCCTGGACGAAGGGCACGATTTGACCAAAAGGAAGGGAAGAAAGGGAGTGGGAGGGAGAAAAAAAGGAGACAATGGGGAGGGCAGAGGTGAGTAAGCGTGACTGTGGACAGACACGAGTGCCATCAGCACAACGGGGGATCAAGCTTGGGAGGACAGGGGGTGTGTTTACATGGACACCGACAAGAACACGGAGACACTGAGGGCCGTGGCTGGCTGCTGAGCTGGCGTGAACCCTGGGGACAGATGCTCCGACTCTCCACAGCTCTGTCTTCCTCCCTCCCTTTACCCTGCAGGAACCCCTTATCCCAGGATGCTTTGGTGCTCAGAGAAGAGGACACAGAAAGGCATTCCTGGTCGTCCGTGTGGATCCAGAGCTATGCTCCCTCTCCAGGGCAGGCTACATGGAGGGTTTCCTGGGGAGGGGGTGTGATCCCAGCTTCTCTTGCACCCCTATAGAGATAGGCCATTTTGTACCTCCTAACCCCAGGAGCAATTGCATATTCATTCTCTCTTTCTCTTTCTCTCTGTATGTGTGTGTGTGTAGGTAGGTCGGAGGACAACTTCTGGGGGGTTGACTTTCTCCTTCCACCATATGGGTTCCAGAAACTGAACTCAGAGTAAGTGCTTTTTACCCACTTAACCCTCTCACTGGCCCCAGCACTAGCCTTTAAACCTGAATAGAAGCATGCTTAGTTCTGCTCCATCTGGGCAGGCCGAGGCAGCCCTTGGACGAGGATACTGACAATGGCTGACATTTCTCTGGCACTTTACAGTCAGACACAAACTGGGTTCATTCACATATGTTCACACAAGTGTCCTTTCCAGACAAAGGCTTGAAGGCAGCTGGCAGGGCCAGAGGTCTAAAGCTACCAATCTGTGGTTAAATGGGCCCTGAAGGTACCACTCAGCCTGCGTGCCCTGTGGCCTCGTTACTCCCTGCTGACCAATGGACAATGGCTCGGTGGGAATGGGGCCTTTTTGCTAGTGCCAGGCCCTGAAGTGGTCTCTGGGGTTGATAGGAGGGGACACCTAGCCAGCAAGCATGGAGTTCTTGAAAACTGTTTCTGAGATTCAGACATGAGCCTCAGTCTCGGGATGGATGAGGGAAGAGAACAGAAGATGGAGCGCAAGGAGCTGGGAAAAGGGTACTGGGTAGGATTGGTTCTCAGTGTTGTGGGACTGACTTTGGCCCCAAGCTAGAGCTGAGGTTCCCATGTTGCGTCTCTCCTGGGGTTCTGTTTCCAACACAGATATCCAGGTTCCGCACTGGCCCCGTTACACCACTCTTCAAGAATGGGGACCCTGGGTCAAGCCATGCTTAGAAGACTCCCAGCAGACTCCACTGCACCACTGGGAGCTAAATGGAAGTGGGGAAGCCAGCAGGATAGGCCTGGAGAGGCTGCTACCTGCCGCCACATGGCCGCGGACATCCAGGGGCAGTCTAGAAGCAGCCTGGAGCATCCATGGGATATGCAGATGCAAAGCCGCCGCCAAGTGCTCTTGAGGGGTCAGAGGGCACGGGCCAAAACACTCAGACCCTGGTGAGCCATTGGCATCAACCTTCCAGGGCTAGAAATGCTGCTGATCTGTTGCTCATAATATTTATGGGGCAACTGTTTATACAGGGCTAGGCATCCAGCTCTAAGATTCAAATGTGCTGGGCTCTCCTCTCTCCCAAGCCAATGTCGGCTGAGCTAAGAGACTATTCTCATGGACACTCCGTGATGCCTTCCCCAAAGACCTTGTGAACTATGACAATCTTGCTGCTAATTTTCTGTTTGTTTTTGTAGGTGTGAGCGTGGAGACACACATACAGGTGTGGGCATGCGCAGTGCAAGGATAGGTCAGGGGACAACCTCCAGGGTCATTCCTTGGGCTCCTCCTCCTTTTGTTTACAACAGGGCTTCTCATGGACCTGGAAGTTCTCTACAGAGCCCAGGTTAGCTGGCTGTGAGCTTCCAGGGATCTGTGGTTTTATCACTGCTGGAGATTAGAGGCACGCACAGCTGCTGCCCATTTCTTTTTCTTTTGTTTTGTTATTTTTGAGACAGGATTTCTCTGCGTAGTCCTGGCTGTCCTAGAATTCATTCTGCAGAGCAGGCTGGTCTCGAACTCAGAGATCCACCTGCTTCTTCCTCTGGAGTACTAGGACTAAAGGCATGCACCACCATGGCTTCACAAGGGTCCTAGGGTCCGAATAAGGCCTCACTCTTAGAAGGCAAGCGCTTGACTAAGCTATCGCTTCAGGCCTCTGTTGCAGTTTTCAAACTAAGGAAGGGATTTCTCCGTACACACGCTTCTATTAGCAACAGTTGGAGAAACAAACATTGAGAGGCTTTTCTGTCACTCAACTGGCACTGTCTTTGTTTACGTCCCCTGCTGGGTGGCTGGATTATAGGCATGGGGACCCCGAACTGAAGCCTGGTCATGCTCACGGGGCTGTTGGTGCTATGAAGGTGAACAACAGGTGATCTGTGGTTGAAGGGGTCAGGAGGGTACTTCCGTGTGGACTCAAGTCATTCCAGACAGGGCTTCTGCAAGGGCAAGCGTCTGTCTGCTAAAGCCATCACTCCGCTGTGGACTGTCAAGCGAATCAGCTCTTAAGCTCTTTCTACGTTAGCTGCACCAGCGAGCAGGAAACAGCGCCTTTGGCCTCTGCTGTGTGTTTGCTATGTCTGCATTGGTTTCCCATGGTTCCTCTGCTGTTTACAGCTACCTGGGGTTAGGGACTGGCTTGGAGCTGGAGACAGAGGAAGGCCCCTGTAGCTTCAATGAATGAGAAGCCTTTGGCTCAGTCTAGATAGTAACTCCATCTGTGACCTTAAGTGACCATCAGTACAATGACATGACGGCTTGCTGAAGTCTCTTTAGCTCTTGAAAAGTAGATTCAGAAAGTGACACATGAGCCATCAGGCCACTGGGAGGGTGGGACAGAGACTCACTCAGCCTGATCTATACCTCTAGACCTGGGGTCTCCCTTGGAGCTATTTGGGACAGACGGAGGGGGTGGGGAAGAATAGCCATTGCCATAGAGCCCCAAGTCTTCTGTGCTTACCCCCTTAGGGTACACCTTTATGACTTCAAGTCATGCCCCAGCAGGCCTTGAGGCTGACCTCGGGCCATTCTGGTTCTCCATCAGGTTGTTCCTCAGATGTGGACCCTACCTCAGTTAGCTTCTTATTGTTCCAGTACTAAGACTCGGCCTGGGAAAGATGTTGAGGGCCCACCATCTTTCCCCGCTATGAAAAGGAAGAACCCAGCACACTGGGATGCTCAGAACTGGATGCAGAGCAGTGTCATCCCTGGTCCCTGCCCAGCAGTGAAGCCTCAGGGAGGGCTACCAAGGGCAGCTCCTTCCAGAAGACTTATGGCTCCCTGGTACTTACAGGCAATCCCAGAGGTCCCCGGTCTCCTTTCTCTCCCTGGGAACCCTTCTCTCCTTTGGAGCCATCTAGGCCTGCTTCTCCCTGCAGGAAGGGGAGACAGAAGGCAACAATGAAGGAAGGGGTCTGCCCCAATCAGCCCAGTCTTGTGCTCTGGGATCTTGGAGGCTAGGAGTGGCAGTCTTGCCCAACTTTAGGTGGAGGGAAGGGTCTGGGGAGATGGGGCAAGAGTTTGATTACTTGCTAAGCAGTTCAAGACGTGGATGGGGAAATCCACATCCCAAAGCAGGCCATGTGTCAGTGGTGGACGTTAGAGGGACTATAGGACTTCATTCTGCCCCAATGGTCTGGTTATGCCTCTGCGTGGTGCCATTTAGGGAGAGGGATCAGCTAGGTCTTGGAAGCACGTTCCACCTACAGCATCTGCCATGTGGCCTTTTCTTACCTTTGGTCCAGGAACACCTTGGAGGCCCTGCATTGGGATGAGAACAAGAAGCATTAGAACTGCATGTGTAGGTGACCATGCATGGCCTTGAGGTGTATAGTCTCAGATCCTAGCTCTTGAGAGGTAGAGGGAACTAGGAAGGCAATTTGAGTATGGGGCTTCCTGGGGTGGAGTCAGAACCATCTGCCCAGTCAGGGACTGCTACAAAATCTCTCTGTGGCCTCCCACAGCTGACTCGAGAGTCTCACGAAGGGCAGAGGAGGCAGCTGTGAAAACGGAGTGAATTGAAGTATGTAAAACACTTAGTATGTGGGACACGGGAACTTCTGTTAAATGGGGCCGACTATCAGTACTGTTGCTAGTACAATTTATGGCCCAGAATGTAAGGAGCAGGATGGAACACCAAGAGGCACAGACCAACACCTGCTCACTTGAGGTGTTTGGGGGACCCTCTAGCTGCATCCAACTGGACTGGTTTTAATGGGTCACTTTCTTAAAAATGATCTTGCTAATAGGAAGGAGAAAAGAACGAGAATAGACATCTGAAAGAAAAGGGTTAAATGAATGTCAGGCAAAGCAATGGCAGAGTAAGTCTGTGGCTTCCAGGCCAGCCAACCAGGCAGTGCCTGGGCTTCCTGGTGTGTCACTGGGAGACATGTTTAAGATGGGAGAGAAGAGGGGTGGGAAGGGTTTGTGGAAGTGACCCAAGGCTGAGGTTGAGTTCAGTACTGCCAAGGGCAGGGATACCAGAGGGACAACCACAATGGCTGACATGCTATTGAGTCCTTGACACTGACACTTACTGGAGGTCCTGGAGGCCCCTCTGGCCCTGGTGGCCCCGGAACCTATAAGCCAAAAAGGGAAGCTCCGTTATGCTCTAGTATGGTCCTGGTCCAGCTAAGGTCACAGGAAGATAGGAAAGCCACTGAAGGTCAGGCCAATACACACTCTCCTAAAGGAGACTCACGACAGGAACCCAGGGCAAACTGTTAGCCACACATAGAGTTGGTCCAAAACCATTTTCAGGAAACATCTCCATAACTCTGGTCCTCCAGGTTGCCCTGGAACACCACTTAGCTAGCAGTAGATTGGTGTCATGTTGTGTATGGCAACCACTACCCAGGGAAAAAATGAGAGCCCTGTCTTCCAGGTGGGGCATGATCTCCAATCTGCCCAGACTCCATCCCCTGCTATCTTCAGCTCTGGCTTCTTGGCATTCATGTGTTTCCTGGACCTTGTACACATGTGAGTTTGAGGTTCTTGGTTTATGGGAGCAGACACTGGTTATCTGAAGCCAAGGGAGGCTGAGATGCCACTGGAGAATCATTCTTTGAGACTAGCTCTGCCCCAGGTTTGTCATGGGTGGCCAGGGACAATTGGCTATATTTCTTTTGAGGGCAGATGAAGCGAGAGAGATTCAGACTGGACAGGAAAACACCAGCATCTCTGGGACTGGGGTATTTCTGCTCAGTGGCAATCTCATTGTGAAGGAGACCACCTTGAAAAGTTTCCTGTGCTTGGCTTGATTGTTAGCTTTGCCAACTTGACACAATCAGGGAGAATATCAGGGATTATTCACTTTAGGTTGACCCGTGGCCATGTCTATAGTACATTAATAACTGATGGATGTGGGAAGAGCCAGCCCATTGTGGGCAGCACCATTCCCTAGGCTGGGGCTACCTGAACTGCATGCGTGGAGACAGGAAGCTGAGGGAGTGAGCAAGCAAGCATGCATCCATTTCTGTCTGTTCTTGACGATGGACATGATGGGACCAGCTGAGTTAAGCTTCCACCACCCCGACGTCCCTGCAATCATGGACCCTATCTGGGACGGTCAGCTAACTAAACCCTTTCTCCTCAAGGCGCTTTTTTTGTCAGGGTATTTTATCACAGCAGCAGAAATGGAACTGGGACACTCCAGATGGGGCTGTAGCTTAGTGGTAGAGCATTCGGCTAGCACGTGGGAAGCTCTAGACACACATGCGTGCACACACCACACACACACACACACACACACACACACACATTGGTCTTATTATAAGTAATATATGGATCTGAGTATAAGAATGCTCGTAGAAACCCAAATCCCACTGAGCATGATGCATTCGGGAGGCAGAGGCAGGCATGTCTCTGTGAGTTTGAGGACAACCTGGTCTACAGAGTGAGTTCCAGGCCAGCCAGGGCTACACAGAGAAACCCTGTCTTGAAAAACAAACAAAAAAATGTTTAAAAGTAACACAGACTTATTAAATAGTTTATCAATGAAAGAGAAGTGAAAGGAGGAAAAATAATAATTTCTGTCATAGCAACTGAGAAGACTCCTAATATTTTGTCTAATATCTTCCCTCTCTTTCTGGACGTAACAGCTATAGTTGTATATGTTTATGTGCTTACAAGGATACATAAATATAATTTGGTCTTTTATAGTTGATATAAAACAGATTTTTCTATTTTGGGGTGTGTTTCCCCATGAGCCCCCTTCCCTGATGACACACTGGCCTTTGGTCAGGAGAACAACTGTCTCCCTGGACAGGGCCAAGAATGGCAGTTGGCACAAGGAAGTCCCTCAACCATGGACGGAGCTAGTACTGCTAGCTCGTCAGCCTAAGGATTTTAATTCTTTCCATCTTGTTAGAAACACGGTCTGTTTTCAATTTTGGCTTGAAATACTTCTGGAAGGAACTTTTGTGTGTATAATGCTTTTCCAGAATTTAGGATTAGCTTCTTTAGGGTGCAATTCATTCTTAAATAAGGAACAGCGGTAGCATGCTTGGGTCCGTCTCACTAAACTCAGATGGGGCTGGTGACATTAAAGATGACAGGCCAGAGGACCTCGTGGGGGACCATGAAGCTTGGTGGTCTCTGGCTTTGCTCTTGGGAGGCTTCTGGACTGCCCAGACCTTCCTACCAAACTCTCTCCCACCCCCAGGTTCTCCGCTGCCTCCCCTGTACAAACATGCACAGCGCTCCCCATCTTCGGCAAAGCCCGTTTCCAGACTGATTTCTTGCTCTGTATCCTTCCTCTCTGCCTCTCAGAGAATCTTACTCCTCGGGAAAGCATTCATCTGAAATTCTGTGACGACATCCAACATGGCTGTTCAGAACTTGCTCGAATGGTTCAATCTCTGTGGCACAGCCAGGTGGTTCTATTTACTTTCCTATGCCTACTGGAGCCTCAGGGTCTTCTCTGGGCACTGCAGGGAACTGGTCAGTGTATGACCAGGGCTGCCTTGGAGCTCAGCACCTGACAGTTGCCCAGCTTCCAGCCTTCTCCGGTTAGAGATGCTAAGCAGCTTGGAGACAAACGGGTATTTCTAGTGAGGCTCTTGTCAGGTGTTACACAGAAAGAAGAACAGGGTTGACCTACCTCTGCTCCTGGGTCACCTTTCTCCCCAGCTTCTCCTTTCTCTCCCTGTGGGCACGAAAACATCCCAGTGTGAGAGCTGCTAGCCAGGAGTTTGGCCACAGGCCCACCCTCACATCTGTCATAAGCTACAAGGCTAGGCTGCTCCTGGGGAGGTGTACTGGTAGCCAGCCTACAGGACTGAGGACCAAGACAGCCCTGCGGCAATCGTCATCTTTAAGGGTCTGAGACTCCAGTGGTGGGAGCAGGGCTGGTCCTGTGTGTGGTTCCTGCGGCAGACACACTGCAGGGTGGAACTGTGGCTTGCTTTTCAGTCTTGGAGGAGGGAACATGGCCTCATGATGCCTGTCACCCCTGTGACTATTTCACACACCACCACATACATGTATTATACATAAGGAAATGTAACACATGCTAAGACACGTTATAGATATGTACACACACAAAGACACATGTGTGCACATGGCTCTGTCTTGGTAGTTCTAGATTCTAGAAAAGTCCTCCTTCTGACCTTCAAGAAATAAGCCATTGCGAGGTGAACTGTCAGCCATGGGAGAGCCACGTGGGTGGGAACTGTAGGTGGCATGCAGGAACTGGGGGACTCTGTCCTACTATGGGAAGGGATCGGATCTTGTCAACAGCTAGTGGCTGGGAAGAGGACTCCAGGCTCCGGGTAAGGACACAGATGGCCAACGATGTGACTGCAGTCTTGGAGACCCTGGCTGGGGACTCAATGATGACAGCCTCGGCTCTTGAGCCACAGAACAGACATACTGACAGAGCTGTGCTATTTGCAAAGCTGCTGTTTGTGATGGCTTAGGGCACACTGATAGACAGTGAACAGAGCTCAGGTCCTGGAGCCTCGGGGGAGCCTGTAGGGAAGGTGGACCGAGAAGAGACCACATCAAGTCTCATCAGGAGCTCAGCTTCCATCTTGGAAGTCGGCATGCTGAGAAGCTGTGAGTCCTCTACCTACCTGCCTGGCCCTGCTGGGTAGACGTTCAACTTCAGGGTCCACTGAGTCACACCTGACCTCTGAGGCTCTTTTACTTTTTTGTGTGTTCGTGTATGGGTGTGTGGAGTCAGGATGTCAACCTCAAATGTCCCCTAGGTGCCTGATTTGTTTTTTTTGCTTGCCCCCCCCCACTTTTGGGGAACCCAGGGCTCAATGATTAAGCAAGGCTGACTGTCCTGTATACCCCGGGGACTTGCCTGTGTCTTTCTAGTTCTAAGAGCAGAATTCCATGTCTGAGTTCAGCACCGTGAGGCTAAGGAGCGCCTGAAGACAGAAGCTACCACATTGTATACTGAAGAAGCTAGAACTGTTTGGACCCAATCGGGACTCCAAGCCAGCTGACAGGCCCAGGCTAACATAGCCTGGCAGGATGACAGGCACTCTTAGGTGAGGAGCCCCTTGTTCATGTGCCCTCATCTGCAGCTGCCTGTGGACACCCTTGACACCCGGTCCTCTCGCCTTACTGTGAATCCTGGGAGCCCGATGGGCCCAGGTAATCCTGTTGCTCCGGGCCTCCCTTCGTCACCTGGTTCTCCTTTCTCCCCAGTTGGGCCGTCTAGACCCTACAGATCGACAAAGATCTCTGTCAGTGAAGCTCAGAGCCATCATGCTGAGCAAACGTGCCCATCTGTGGCATGCATACATGCGTGATTCCCTTCCTCCAAGGGTGGGTGGCCAAGGGTGGTGCCATTCCACAGATGGTACTACTGAGGTCCAGAGAAAGCTCCTCAGCTAAGTCAGCAGCCTAGCTGGACTGGGCGGGTATGGGGGGGGGTCCTTTCCCATTCATGCAAACTCTTCTGATGTACGGCTTCCACATGCTTCTGGAGAAGCAGGCTCACAGCCCTGACTGTCTTTTTCAACAGTCCATGGAGGTTCCAGGAAATGCACTGTTATTCCCATCTTAGAGATGGAAAACCGAGGCTCTGGAAGATTCAGTGACTTCCCCAAGGACACAGATGAGGTTGGTACAGGACTCAGGTCTCCTGCGTGGGGACACTACAGGATACCAGCCTTCACAAAGTGAGCGGCAGTAAAGTCAATCTTGGTTCTCTGAACTCAGGAGCAGCTGGCAGCATGCAGAGCCCGTGTCAGGCTGGAGGTGGTGCATGCAGGATGCCAGCTGTCCAGACACTTACCTGAGGGCCTGCTTCTCCTGTCTCCCCTTTCTCCCCAGGGCTCCCTGGGGGTCCGGTCTCTCCCTTCATTCCGGGAGGCCCATCCTTTCCTGGGGGCCCTTGAGGGCCAGTGGGCCCCGTATCTCCTGGTTTTCCTCGAGGTCCCTAGAGAAATATTAACGGCACTTCTTAGGGATATTAATGGAGGAAGGAGGGAGGGAGAGATCAGAAAAGAAAAGGCTTGGTGGTCAAAGGCTGGGGTCTCTGGCACTGAGTGGGAGCTCATAGAGATCCCCAGGCTGGCTCTGCCAGGTACAGCTGGAACCCCTCTTCCTGACCCTCCTAACTTTCCCTGGTTGGGCCTGCTCCTGAGCCCTCCCGCCCACACTCCCTGCGTGAGAACGACTTGCAGAATTCTTGCTGTAGACAGTGTTGTTTACCTTGTCCCCATCATGTCCCGGAGGGCCTGGCAGTCCAATCTCCCCCTGCAGCAGGGGCAACAGAAACGGTTTAGAGTAGAGACACTAATGCTCACCTCCTTGGTACCCTGCCCCTGCCCCCATAGCGCCTGGAAGGCACACCTTTGATTGCCTTGGTGTCACAGATCAGGATCCCAAAGTATGGTGGTGGGGGGAGCTGAGTATCCCATGACCCATGTCTTAGCCACAGCGTCACACGGCTGTCTCTGAGAGTCCTGAGCATCTCAGAGCTCCTGGTTACCTTATCCCAACCTTCCTGTCCTCACTGTCTACAGGGAGTTCCTATCCACTTCACAGCAATCTCAGACCCTTCCTCGTTTAGGTTGGGATCTGGGAGGATGTGGTAACATGATGTGGGAAGAAGCAGAGGAGAGAGGCTGTCAATTCTGCTGGATGCATCTGTAGTGACTTCCTGGAGAAGGGTACCTAGAGGAGGTCAGGCTCTCAGAGGCAGAGAGAAAACACAAGGCTTCTTCCAGAAAAGCCATTGAAAGGGTTGGCGGAGGATGAGAATAATGGCAAAGGCACTGAGTGAGGGAGGTTGAGAGCTGGGAAGTGGTAACCTGGGTTTGGTGGCTGCAACCAGGGGTATGTTCCAGGTCCCACTGTATCTGAGGGGTTCTCTGAAGCACAAGACCAAAGACTAACTATGAGGGAAGAATGGCAGAGCTTGAGGCTGGGAGTGTGGGAAATGGAGTGGTAGGGTCTAAGGTACAGAGAGGAATGACAGGCAAGTGTGGTGGTCCTGGGAAGATGGGAGGATCACAGAACATGGGGAGGCCCCATGATTGATCAAGTGCTCAGAATGTGTTACCCTTTCAGCATTATATA